GGGCTGACCGTTGTTCGACGGAACTAGAACGGCGGCCGGAGCTCCGACTTTGGGCTCCGCCGGTGGTCTTGGACAGCTCCGACGGCCCTTTGCTGTTGTGGATCGGTCGCTGAGGCCCCGTAGCTCGTGCTGAACGGCCAACACCGGCAAAGCCTGTGCGCCGCAGCTAGCTCTGCATCTTTTTATCGAGCCGCCCTGTTTCACCGCTGTTTTTTTTTCGTTTGGTGGTTTGTCTTGTTTGTAGGGACCGAGTGCTACAGCCCTAGTCGACGAGGCCCGCCCACGCCAAAAAAAAAAATGGCCACCTAACCTGTACAAAAAAAAACAGACGCGGCAGCGAGGATGTGAATGGGCAGTCCGTCAAGCAGGAGAGTGCATGCAGTACACGGCCCATGCAGAGCTCGTAAGCACAATGACGGTCACTGAGCGGCCACTTTCCCCACCAGGCAGAGCTCATCAACGACGGCACAGTTCGGTGAGTGACCCAAAGCAAGCTTAGGGAGGAGCAGCCCAAGGGCGAGGTGCCTCCGAGCCGCAAGGATTAGTGTGGTTCCCACCCTCACAGCCTCCGCCGCAAAGCCGAATGGCCAGGGCACGGCTATGATGTGGCATCGTTTCTGTGTCGTGCTCGAACCTGTTCACCCGCCCAATGGCTGCAGGCGAACCTCCGGCGCATGCCATCCCCAATAGTGCATCTCCAAATCCCACAGAATTCGGCGGAAGTGGGTAGGATCCATGTGCTCATCGTTGAGAGTAAATAAAAATTAACTCGCCAAGTTCGCAGCGTCGATCCAGCTGTGCCCTGGTGAACCAATACGTGTTGGAGGGCTTGTGATATTTGGGTACGAGCCGGTAGCCTGAAAAAAGCGATAACGCAGCCCTTCCGCCAGCCCTTGCTCTCGGATCGGAATTGCCGGGCCGCAGTCACCCACTCCTCGAAGTTGATCCCGGCCCCAAGTGTACAGGGCGGATGCGCGACCAAAGGGCTGCAAAGTTCCTTCGGACAACTGGCCCATTAAGAGAGCCACAACGAGATGGAGTTGGAGCTGGAACAAGAACAAGAGCCCTAGAAGAGCCTTCGGGAGCCTTGAGACGAGAGGATCTTGGTCGCGGAAGACTCTTCATGAGCCAGGACCCCTTTAGCGCGCGCATGATCCAACAAGAGCCCTAGAAGAGCCCAAGAAAGCTCTGAGACGAGAGGATTTTCTCCCAACAAGAGCCCTTCAGAAGAGCCCTCAGAGGAGAGGTTTTTAGTCGCGGGAGACTCTCATGACATGAGAGCCACGACCCTCTTTAGCGCGCGCATGATCCAATAAGAGGCCTCAAAAGAGCCCTGGAGAGCCCTGAGAGGAGAGGTCGGGAGACTCTTCATGAGAGCCAGGACCCCCTTTAGCACGCGCATGATCCGAAGAGGCCCACAAAAGCCGTAGAGAGCTCTGAGACCAGGATTGTAGTCGCGGGAGACTCTTCATCAGAGCCAGGACCCCTTTTGTGCACGCACATGATCCACAAGAGCCCTAGCGAGCCCAGAGAGAAGAGTATTCCAGGACCCCTTGACAGAAGAGCCTGTAGCGGGAGACTCTTCATGAGAGCCAGGACACCTTTAGCGCGCATGATCCAAGAGCCCTAGAAGAGCCCTAGAAGAGCCTTAGAGCCCAGAGAGGGAGGATTTTAGTCCACGGACGGGAGGATTTCAGTCGCGGGGAGACTCTTCATAAGAGCCGTGTGTTGTACATGTTGTATGTGCGTGTGTGGTGTGTGTTGTGTGTCTTCTGTGTATTGTGTGTGTGTTGTGTGTTGTGTGTTGTGTGTCGCGTGATGTGTGCTTGTTGTGTCTTGTGTGTCGCATGCTGTGTTGTGTGTTGTGTGGTGTGTGTTGTGTGTATTGTGTTGTGTTGTGGGTGCTGTGCATGTGTGTGTGGGCGGTGCGGGCGGGAGCGGGCGACGCGGGTTGGCGCGAGCGGGGCGGTGCAGAGCAGAAAAAACAAAAACTCCACAGTGATGTGGGGAAAAAACAGATAGAAAGACAGAGAGAGAAAGAGAGGGGGGGTCGGTGATTAAGCCCCGGGCTCGTGCTGCACGTGGGTTTTCAGTGATGTTCCGGTCCAGAGGGGCATGGTGTTGAACGCAGCAAAATTTCGCGTGTGTTTTTCAAACGGTCTTTTTATGTGATGGACAGGATGAGGACTATGACGACGGATTGCATTCAAACAGGACTAGGGACTGGACCATTTTCATGCCCACCCTAACGTTTGCGTCAAAATTTGAACTGCAGGCGGAAATTCAAGTTTTGAGCCGCATTGGCCCATGATGTGTTGTCCGTTGGCTTGTTCCATGTTATCAGCGCATCATTGCATCATCAGGAATCATCAACAAATTGTAGTCGTCGCACAGACAGATGTTTCGACAACGAATTCGCGCTATCGCGTGCCTTTCCGTGCCAACACTCAAAAAACACCCCTAATCCCCAACAGCAGTAGCAGCAGGCTCCTTTTTGAGGAAATCAACGGTTGAGGCAGTTGAGGTTTATGGATTCGTCAAGGGCCAAGGGCTTATGAGTTTAAATTAGAATTGCGGGTGGTTTGTTACCACTTGTACCTGTTACCTGTTCCTGTTTCTGCTGGAATGGAGCCAAACCCTAAACTCGAAGCCTAAAAACCCTAGCTCTAATCGCCCTAATCTCACGAAAACCTGGACCCTGATCAGCCCTGATTCCTACGCCCTACAAACCTCATACCCTCAACCCTAAATTGCCCTAAACCCTGATCCCCAAACCCTAAACCGTGATCCCTAAACCTAAACCCCATACCCTAAACCCTGATCCCTCAACTCTAAACTCGAAACCCTGCCTTCGGCCGCACAAAACCTTAATTACCGAGAGGGGTCCGGTAATTTAGCCCTGCGCCTGGGCCCGGTCTAATTCCCGAGGTCCATCCTTAATTATCGGGGTCTTGTACTAAATTACCGGGGTTTGGCCGTAATTACCGGGGTCCGGGCTTAATTACCGACCCCCCTCGGTAATTAAGGTTTTGGACCGGCCTTAATTACCGGGGTCCGGGCTTAATTACCGACCCCCCCTCGGTAATTAAGGTTATGGAAGCATGTTTTGGTGCACTTTCGAGCGCTGACCCCCTCATTTTGACGGGGTCAGCGCTCGAAAATGCACCAAAACATGCTTCCAGAAGCTTAATCACCGAGGGGGGGTCGGTAATTAAGGCCGGGGTCCGGTAATTAAGGCCGGTCCAAAACCTTAATTACCGAGGGGGGGTCGGTAATTAAGGCCGAGTTCCGGTCATTAAGGCCGGACCCCGGTAATTAAGGACAGGCTTGCAACATAAACGATTTGCGATGTATGTCGGGTCAATCAGCTTGCTAGGCACGAGTTTTAGCTGTTCTTGTTGTTTTTTCGGTTTTGTCCTGACCCGACCTGCCTGCCCCCTCCAGGGTTGTGGTTGCCCCATGGCTGCCTTGAGCCTACTGACTGGCACTGGTTTAGAACCCAGATAATCCGAATAACCGACATAACCGCATACCTCTATACTATATCCACCTAGTCACCTAGTCTCTACACACTTGCCACTAACCCACTGGAGGCGCAAACTTGGCCCTAAGCGCCCTATAAGTTGCGAAATCTCAGTTTGAAAGCTTCACAAGCTGCAGAATGGATCCTGCATCCTGAGTACGTCTACGCCTACGCAAGGTTTGAGATTCCGACCGTGACCCCTCACCCCCTAAGCCTTAGGCCTAAGCCCTAAGGCCATGAATCTCCAAACCTTTAAACTTGAGGCTCATGGCGCTGGGGAAAAAAGACGGCCGACAAAAACTTTTAAGGTTTGAGCAGGCTTGAGGCTTAAGGGTTCGGCTTACAATGTTTAGGGCCTAGGCTCCTAGGGTTAAGTTTAGTTTGGGAGGGCCCTAAAGCTTTTAACCCTAAACTAAGCCCTGCCTGAGGCTTGAGCTGGATAGAACCGAGAGCAAAACATCAGACACCTTTGTCGTGCGTGGGCAACGGCATAAACCACAACCTAAGGCGGAAAATGTAGATGGACCCCACGAGGCAAGAAAATTGAAATCAAACGTTTTTTTCGTGGTGGCAAGGGCAGCACCAGCCACCACTCGCAGCTCGTTTGGAAGCAGTTTTGTGGGTCTTTTTCGGTCGCAATGACGGCAGTGTGCTTTGTACGGTCATGTGCATACAACCCATCCTCGGGAACCGAAATGTGCTTATTCCCGGGGTCCGGGGCTTAATTACCAGACCCACCCGGGACCCGCGCAAGTTGCCTGGGTAAAGCCCCTACGGCCCCCACACTGTAGCCCTGGCAAAGGAAAGACAGAGGCAGAGAAGAGTGAGGGAGAGCGAGAGAGATGAGAAAGAGAGAGAGAGAGAGAGAGTTCAAGTGACACCGCGCAACATAAACTTATGCTACGCCCCAAACTGCAAGGGAAAGCAAAGCGGCATGACATGAGGAGATTCAAAGTGCGATCACTCGTAACATTCGTTTTTGCTCGGCTTGCCGGAAAGTGGTGTCGGCAGCTGCCGAAGGAAGCGGGCGACCTGGTCTTTGACCAGAGTCCCCTGCCAGCTGAAGCAAAAGCAATGCGGTCACCCTTAAGCCCGTATCGTTCAGCAAGTTCGAGGAAGCAGAAAGCGAAACCGTACTGGGTAAGGGACGGCAGAAAAGCGAGAAACCGTGTGGATGCAGTCATTTTTTGCCATTTGATGTTGCAACCTGTTTTCCACACAGACGTTTGCTGCTTTTGCCGGTGCACAAGACCAAACATCCAAGATCCCACATGCACCAAAAGCTTTCGTTTTGCGGAGCCATTTTTGTTTTAAGCTTGGATGTGTCCGGAGACGTTCCGAACCGGCCATGGCAGCGATGTCGCCTAAGTCGCCGAAGCGGGTGTGCTCGCAAAGCCACCTCGAAGAGCACGATGGCCTTCGCAAGACCGTGTCTTTTGCCACCCGCCGGTTTGACCCCAGCGGCCTCCCTGCTGACATGCTCAGGGTCTACACGTCTTTGAAGGAGAGGTTCGACGAAGAGTATGCCCTCTTGTTTGTGTTCAATATGCAAACCGCCATGGAAATGCACCGTGCGTGGAACATGACACTCCTGACGTCCAAGACGCTGAAAAAGTGCTCAGAAATGGTTGGGCTGACGATGACATGGGAGCTCGGCGTGATCAAGCTGAAGTTCTTCATGGAGGACGGCGATTTTGAGCTACAGCGAAAGGTGCCCTACGATTACGATTCTGAGTTCCAAGACATGTTCATGAGGATCGCCTCTGCGCTTTACAATGGTCACATGACTGTCCACGAGGCTTTGCTCTTCCAGCAAGAGGCGAAGCAAGGGAAACACACGGCCAGGACAGGTTTGTTTATCCGTGACTACCCCGGCAGATTGATCGTTTTGCCCGCCATGTCCAGCACCTGTGCGGTGATCTTCTTCGGGGGATCCGAGAAAGAGGCCGGCGTGGCCGCCTTGTGCGGTCTGGTTACGGGTTTGCAACATGACTGCATGACTGTGTGTATGTACACTATAATACATATACACACATATGTACAAAAATAAATACGCATGTATGTAACCGTGTATACATACAGTATCCCGGTACTCAGTGGTACTAGAGATATTAAGATGCTTAAGCCGCTGAGCTCAGGATCGAGTACGGTTTGCTGAAAGTCGGGGGCGACGCCACGCTGCTGATCGACCTTGCAGTGGGGCTCTCGACCGGCTTCATTGGAAGTTTGTTCTTCCAAGCAGACAACTCCTATTGCCTCGTTTCCATCTTCATGGGGACCTTATACTGGTTCTTCTATGGCACCGCCTTTGTCGTCGGGCTGGTGGAGATCTTGGCTGGAGAACTCGAGACGGGTGTGACCCGCTTCATGGCCGTCAGCATCAAGACCTTCGTCCTGTGTGTCATGGCGTGTTTCGGGATGCTTTTGGCAGTCCCAAACCCTGGCCAGGTGTGGGAGGCGCAGTCTCAGAATTGTGGCGTCATTAACCTGGCCGATCAATGGTGGCGAGTTCCTTTGTACTTGGCATGTTCACTCGCCGTCCTGGGACAGTACCGCTTTCGCTTGGAGCAATGCTGGCGCGGCTTGCTTGTGCAGCTTGCAGGATACGAGGTCCAGTTTCAGGTTACCCAGTTCTTCCAGCATCAACGCGAACGCCTTGCCAGCAACGACATGACACCCATCGTCAAAGACAACTTCGATGTAATGGCTTCGAACGTCTGCGGTGCTGCAGCCAGCGTCATCACGGCTTGCACGCTGTCGGCCATCATGGATTTTATCAATTCCATCTACTATGCCCAGCTCCTCCAGCGCGGGGCGCACAGGGACGAGACGGACTCCAAACTGGACGACATCTTGTTCGGCTGCATATCGGTGGTCGTCAAGTGTTTCAACTGCATCGGGATTGGCAGGAAGCATGACAAGGACATGGTTGATCTCGAGAAGAAGATCTACCAGCATTCAAAGGAGCTCAGGGATCCCTCGCACCCCCGTAGTGAAATCAAGCTGGATCCTCACGAGGAGGATTTGTTGCTGGACACGATCGTGTACGCCGAGTCGATGAACATCTGGTCTATGCTGATGCCGGCAGTCTACCAGCTAGTGCCTGGCTCGATGATCGCCAGGATGTGGTTCAACACCATCATCCCGCCCAGTGATCCTTCAGTTGAGGATAACACGTTTGCCGGCCTCATGGTCACGTCGATCTCCCTGGCGCTGGGCCTGATCATCGGTGAGGCTATTGTTGAGCTATTCACCGGCATCGCGAACCTGCTTTTTAAGTCGAGGAACAAGGACAAAGAGTCCAAGACTCTGAAGCCAAGTGACCGTAGCCAGTTGACCACCAGTGCCATGGGTGCGGAGATCGAGACAATTTCTCAAGATAGTTCTTTTCGGCTTTAAGTCTGTGCTTTTTGATAGCTCATGACGAGGAATGGAGCTGCAAAGCTCAAGCTCGACACCTTGTAGGAATCTGACAACTGTCAGGATAGATGTGGACTGGGTTTCGACGAGTCGGCAAAGCCGCAGAAGCAAAAACACCACGGCATTCAAGGCTCCCTTCCTTCCGGAAGCTGCTTTGTTGTGTCCCACTGTAGGCATATGTTCCCACTGCGCGTGCTGCCATTCCTTGCTTAGCAGCTGAGCTTCCGACTTGAAGTGTAGAAGACCCCCGGACAAACTGCTACGCGTCAGCCACGCTGCGGCCACACGGCAACTAAAGAGTCAGTCTAGGACAAACGGCCAAACGAAAGCAATATGACGCAGAAACCAGTCTTGCGATCTGCCATGAGTGCCAAGCCGCCGGTAATATGCGATACAGGAACTGGCGTGATCAAGGCGGATGTGTGCTTCAGCTTTCATGTTCGAGATGTCGAGGATGTCCTATACCTCCGCCAGAGAGTACATGTGCAGACAGCATGCACCTTGTGTTGAAAGACCGCAGGCAGGATTTGCCGGGGAGCCGGAACCGTAACAAACTCAGTGCAGCTGTGTTCTGCCGGAGAAAGTTTTGCTGAAGCTTCGGCAGAAAGGTCTGTGGTGCTGCCCAATCTGTTGGGCCGCCCCATGCTGCGAGCCGACAGCGGAATCGGCTCATGCCAGGTGTGGCCAGCAGAGACTCGCTTTAGTTGTTGTGGACTTGTTGTCGTGTACTTCACTGAGCCTGCCAAGTCTTTTCGGGAAATTATGTGTTTTTCGTCCTTTTGCTTTCAGGTAGATGATATTATGGTCGGCGACGAGGCCAATGCGGCCAGGCGCATCCCCTAAGAAGGCAAGCATACCGAACGGCAGGGCGACGACAAAACTAAGTGTCCCGCGCCAAGGTCATTGCTGCAACTGACGCGGCCGATTCAGAATGGTGTCGTCAAAGATTGGGAAGGAATGGAGGCAACTAGTCAAGCGCGTCGGTGAGTCTGCTCGCTTTAGAGCATGATCATGGCGAGTTCAGGACGAGGACATCTCGGAAAGCCCCTCGAGCGTAGCCAAATTATATAAAATGCCTAGTTGCAGCTGGACAGGCTGTTTGGGACTACACCTTCCACAAGCTAGGCGTGAATCCAGTCGAGCATAAGGCCGTTCGCGGTATGTGGTGTATGCTGTACTTGGTGAGTCGGGAGAGAACGCACCACGATTCTTCGCTGCATAGGGAGGATTTGGGGAGCGCTGAGAATGTGAAGTGGTTGGACTTGCCTGTTGTGATGTCGTACTAGTTGCTAGAAACTTGGCATGCCGGGGTTGTAGTGCGGCTTGGGTTGCTGGATGCTGCTTGTGCCGAAACGTGTTATGGCAAAGTGCTGCGTTGTCCCGAGTTGGAGGTTCTTCAAACCGAAGCAGCTTTAAACCCACCGCGAAATCGCGAGCGCATGGTCCGGAGACCAAGCTGGTTCGGCACGGGCAATCCTGAACAGTTTTGAGGAGCATCATACATCACAGCAGAACAGATTGCGATTTTGCAAAGAAGGCGCTGCAGGTCCGGGTAAAGACGCACTACCGCTCAATGTCACTGAGCTGACCTGCTTGGAGTCGGAGTAGTGTGCTTCAAGGTCGAGATCATGTTTGAACGCTATGGCTTCAGCGCGGTGAATGTGTCAGTCCAGGCTGGATCGGAGAGGAAGGCGTGTAACACGTGAGTTCTGAGACGGCGAGGCTATCCTGGCTTTGAATTCCCGTGGACTGGACTCTGGCTTTGTTGTCGGCGCTCTCAGAGGGCTCGCGACAACATTTCGGGACGACCGCAGCCGTCAGGTCGACTCGGGCGATGGTGTAACACACCTCGTCCCCATTTGCGAGGGCTACCTAGAGCCCGCATTGGTGCAAAGGGTGCGGGGCTCGCATCGGACAGACTTGGACGTACATCTCGCAGTGTGCTCCTTCAGGTCAATCTAGCTGGCAGACACGTGACGGAACAGCTGATGAAGCTCCTCGTAGGCCTCTTCTGTTCTCGTTCAGTGCTTGAATTCGCAGGGTTTCCTGTTGATATCTTTCTGCTGCCCTGCAGGGCAAGGCCATCCATTGAATTCAACTGCGGACTTTGAAACTGTGCGCGAGGCCAGCATGCCCACGCCCGAGGAACACAGTCTCACTAGATTTCCATGGCGACGAAGGTCAAGCAGAAGTTGTGCTATGTTGCATACGAGCCAGAGGCAGAGAGGAGACTGGCACAGGGGCCCAGTATGCTCAGAGCCAGCCTTTTGTCCTGCTGCCCCCATGGTTCCAGGATGGCAAACTTAGAGCACTCGTGAAATCAAATTTGTTTTTGCCACGCTGGCCTCGTTTCGAAGCATGGTCAAGGCACGCGAGACAACTTTGGTCGACAGACAGCACCCTTGGATCAAGCAAAAAGGGAGCTAAGAGATTTGATTGCCTAGTCTTCCGGACTGCCCGAGGCTTGTAAGTAAGTCGCTCGCTCGAAGGCATCGGTTGCAAGCTGTGGCAGCGTTGGTTTGATCATGCCGGCTGCGCTTGTAGCGTGCCCCTTGCAGTAGCTTGTGTCTGAGTCTAACTCCCCGTGTCTCTCTCTCTCTCTCTCTCTCGCTCCCGCTCTCGCTCTCGCTCTCCGCCTCTCCGCCTCTCCGCCTCCCCCTCCCCCTCCTGTGTCGCTCTCTCTCTCTGAAGTTTTTCTGTCGCTCTCTCGGCTTCTCTATTTCACTGGTGATGGGCCATGACATGCTGTGCTGGGAACCACCACCCAGTGGCAAATCCCAAATTATTACCGGGGTCTGTAAGCACCTTAGATTTTGATGAGGCACTTAGTAGATCGATGAAGGTGTGTCAGTTTCACAAGGTATGTTCTTCCTGACAGTCGAACCATGCGGGTGGGTGCTGAGCGCTTCCTTGCACCGGAGATCCTGCAGCAGTCTCAGAAAGGTTAGTGCATCGTGTGCGGCGACGGAGGCTGTGTTGCCTGAGAGTTGTTGTGAGCCGTCTGCCCCAGATTTACTCCTGCTTTGGGTGGCTACGGTGACGGCGACGGCCTGGCCGACTTGGTTGCCGCCTGGGCTGCTCCCTTCTTCCGGTTGTCAAAGAGTCGAAGCCAAGTATTCAGGTCTTCAACACGATACGCAAGTCTGACATCCATGTCCAGAAGGATCCGGCTGTCCCGTATCTTCACTTTGCAGCAACATTTCAGTGGTTCTGGCTTGTTTCATAGCTTGCCATGAGATGTTGTTGCTGCTGTCGTGACCGATCGGCAGATGGTTTCGGCATTGTAGCGGTTTGCGTTTTCTCGATTCCTGCGTGTATCCCGCCATTATCCAGCGATGCTTTGCCACCTGGACATGTAGATCTGAATTGTTTCGAAATGATGGTGCGAACACTGTTGATTTTCTTGAGCCTTGTTACAGCCTTGTTACACTGTACAGAAGGCATGCAGTCTTCGCCGGCATTTTTCACTGAATTGCGAGTCCACTCTTGCGTCGGGCTGCACAAGTGCACAAGTGCGGCTTGCTTTGTCTGCATGTACCAGGCAGCAGCGATTGATCTGGCGGGCACGATTCTTTGCTTGCAGTTGTAACAGACATAGACACAGAGGAAGACCAGTTTGCTATTTGTATCATTTTGCATCGATCGTATCGTAGATGAATCGCGCGAAAGTCTGAGTACCCTGTCGCAAGCTTCGAGGCCAGGCTCTGTTGCTGCTCTTAGCGGCCAAGAGTGTTGCTTGGCGTTTCGGTGCCGTTGACAACATGTTCGCATCTGGCCGTTTTCTTAGGCTACGAGCGTTTATGTTCCAATCCAAACCGCAGTGCCACTATCGCCGCGACGAACATCACGACGGCAACATGCGACGACAGCTGCAAGAGCAACATGGGCAACACCGACAATGAAGAACACCCCAGAGCAAAGGCAGCAGCAACGGCAACAACTTGCTCTGGCTGTCGCAATCCGAACCACGGCTCTAGCGAGCTCCGTCTGCTGCTTCAGGCCTCTGCATTAAGAGGTAAAATTGCAACCTCGTCAAGTGTTACATGATTCAACAAGCTCGTTGTTCTCGCAAGGGTTGACCGGGAAGAACAAGGCTGCCGAACTGCCGAGCTGTCCGTCGTACTTCCTGCGGTAGTCCTTCTGTGTCTCCATAGAAACTCTGGTCGCAGCTTGAACTACGCGAATGGGGACAGTTCAAAGCGCGCCAGCGGTAACGCCGGAAAGTGCCACTAACCACGCAAAGAAAAGCCTGCAGGATTGAAGTTTTTGGTGTACTAGACTCTCGCCCCACAACGGCAGCTGCACACCATGTCGTCTGTTTTTCAGCCCAGGCAGCCACACTGTCACTGCACGAACGCAGCACAGCCCAGTCCTGCAGCTCTTGCCCAACGAGCCCAACGCTCCAGCCCAGATCGTCCCAGTCAGCAAAGCCGCGCAGCATGTGACCCTTTTCCCTTGCCAGCCCAGCCCAACCAACAACAATCAACAACATCTCCACGGCGCACCTCCCTGCATTCAGCACTTTGCTGCGACTGATCTGGACTCTTGTGGCTGAACCTCGTGCAGAACGTTGTGATCTGCATGTGCACGTCGCACGGTCGGATTGTCTTCCCCAATTTCTCGCCAAGTACATCATCCGCTTAGTGTCGATCCCCTGCACCTCTCGCGCCGGGACTGCTGCAGCAACGTTTAGTGACGTCTTTGCGTCGTCGCAGATGTTATATGCATTTTAGCATCTGTAAGTTCAGAAAGTCATACAGCTTTGGATGCTGCCCAATTTCTTCCTCAGTTAACTGACGAGCCATATCGTAACTTGTCGTATAGCTTGGCTTCGCCACGTAAGGAGCCCAAACCGACCACGGCGGAGGAAAAGCGCAAGGGAGTAGACTAATTCAGGAACCATGCGCGATTGTCGGGAACCATGGGTCGGGAAACAAGAAGGCAACAGTCAGGAAACAAGGAGGCAAGAGTCGGGAAACAACTGGGGCGAAAGTCAGGAATCAAGCATGTCGGGTACCATGGGTCTTATAGGGTTCGGGGTTTATAGCATTATCGTGTCAATGCAATATCTGCATCTTGCGGTCTGTGTATTGGTATCGGTATTTGTACTAGTATGTGTATTCGTATTGTATTCGTATTAGTTCTAGTACTAGTCTTAGTAACTTTAGTATGCGTATGAGTATGAGTAATCAGTCTTTGTGTTTGTAGTCGTGATAATATTAGTATTAGTATCCGTATTGGTATTGGTATTAGTTATAGTTAGCATTAGCATTTGTAGTGTTAGTAATATTAGTAGTATTAGTAGTATTAGTAGTATTCGTAGTATTAGTAGTATTAGTAGTATTACTAGTATTACTAGTATTACTAGTATGACTAGTATTAAGAGTATTAGTAGTAATAGCAATATTAGTAGTATTAGTAGTATTAGTAGTATTAGTAGTATTAGTAGTATTAGTAGTATTAGTAGTATTAGTAGTATTAGTAGTATTAGTAGTATTAGTAGTATTAGTAGTATTAGTAGTATTAGTAGTATTAGTAGTATTAGTAGTATTATGAGTAGATGAGTAGTATAGCAGTGTACGTAGTATGAGTAGTATGAGTAGTATTTGCAGTGTTAGTAGTAGTAGTAGTAGTAGTAGCAGCAGCAGCAGTAGTAGTAGTAGTAGTAGTAGTAGTAGTAGTAGTAGTAGTATTAGTAGTATTAGTAGGGTCCTGGCCCCTGGTAGTTTTGAGTGTCCGATTGTCAAAAATGCTGGGTCTTTAGTAGTTTTTAGAAATTGTAGTTAAGCCAACTTCGATCCAACTAATTGCGTGGGCTTGTTTTGATGATTTTGATAATTATGAGGATGATGATAAGGATGATGATTATGAGGATGATGATGAAGATGACCAAGTTAACGATGATGTTGAAGATTGCGAAAATGATGGCTATGAAGATGGTGATGAAGATGGTCAGGTTAATGTTCATGTCACTGCCTTTGGCGATCATGGCCAAAACACCGGTATTTACAGCATTCTTTGCTCTTTGTACCACATGCTGCACAGGGATGTGGAGCAAACCCGTTGTCACAAGCATCCTACTACTGCTACTGCTACAGGCGCTACTGCGTTACTGCTTGCGGTCAACCATGTCGTTATTAACCCCCCCTCCCCCACCCCATCCCCCTGGCACCCTAGCAAAAGGCCCAAAAACGCAGAAAAACAGAGGTTAACACCAGGCGCCTGGAGGCGCGCATAGCTATTAGTAGTATTAGTAGTATTAGTAGTACTGGTAGTATTAGTAGTGTTCGTAGGTATTGGTATCGATATCTGTATGTGTATTCGTATTGTATTCGTATTAGTTCTAGTACTAGTATTAGTAGCTTTAGTATGCGTATGAGTACTAGTATTACAATCAGTGTTTGTGTTTGTAGTCGTGATAACATTAGTATTAGTATCCGTATTGGTATTGGTATTAGTTATAGTTAGCATTAGCATTTGTAGCGTTAGTAGTATTAGTAGTATTAGTAGTATTTGTAGTATTTGTAGTATTTGTAGTATTATGAGTAGATGACTAGTATAGCAGTGTACGTAGTATGAGTAGTATGAGTAGTATGAGTAGTATGGGTAGTATTTGCAGTGTTAGTAGTAGTAGTAGTAGTAGCAGCAGCAGTAGCAGTAGTAGTAGCAGCAGCAGCAGTAGTAGTAGTACTACGAATCAGGTGCCGGATGCTCATGGTGCCGCTCATGCGTTCCTTTTTTCCCCGCATGTTTCCCGACTCCTGCCTCTTCACCTTCCCGACTGCTGCGCCCCTTGTTCCCGACTCCTGCCGCTTTGTTTCCCGACTCGTGCCTCCTTGTTTCCGACTTTGGTTCCGCGACTTTTCCCTCACCCGCGCAAGGAGGGAGCAGGAGGAACAGGAGCAGGGTTATCTTTGGAAAACAGAGGTTTGGGAGTCGGGGTAAGAAGACACTGGTCAAACAACGCAAGTTGGAGTGCCCCATGGACGGGAACGGAAGCTGCGCTGTTCGATTGGGATCGGTTGGGCCTGCCCTCGATCTCAGTTCGACACCTTTGGCCTTTAACAGCGGCCATTTTAAGTGCTTCATTGTATCTTGTCGCGGCGGGAAGGGGATGTTCGGACGTATCAGCACGGAACAGCATGAGGCTGCCAGGCTCCGAAACCCAACACTACCGGTCTTTGCCTTTCCACCGCTGCACTCGACGCTCACGCTCGGAGGCTGGGGTTCAAGGCGACCTTCCGGGACGTTTTGCTAAAACCGCCCCCCTCAGCCTCAGCTCACGGCTTCAGCAAAAGCCTTGGGTGCATTTCAAGCTGCACGGGCTGTAACGATGTTGAACACGTTTTGTGCATGGAAAGGGCGTGTCGCGTGGCCTTTCGAGATCTGAACCTGCAGCTCCACTCAGGTCTGCGACAGGTTTGCTGACAATGCCCAAAATGCTGCATGAGTTCGTGCTCAAGTGTTACACAAACACACGCATCCCTGCGCCCGCTTACGCTTGTTTGCTTCTGTACAGGAAGAGGTTTTGGGTCTTGCCATTTGCATGCTTTACGAGCATCGCTTGCCCTTGAGGACTACTTTCAGCAAATTGTGCTTTCGGGCGGAACGACGATGTTCCCGGGAATGTCGTCACGCTTAGAGAAGGTCCTCGGAGCTGCGCACACCTTTAACTTCGGAACTGTGCCTAGTTCAGAACAACCTGGTGGAATCTTGTGAGGATCTGAGAGCATTGTACTTGCAGAACGTCCTTGGCGGCGACACCTCCCGTGCCTCCAAGTTTAAAGTGCACGTGGAGGCCTCTGCACAATCGACAAAGATCGCTCCAGGTCAGGGTGACTGAGCAAGCCGTGGCAGGATCCTCCCGACCGCCGACATATGGTCTTCTTGGGTGCGTCGATCATGGCGGATCTCCATGAGCAGCAGGTCAGGCTGCTCACGTCCAACTTGTCAGCTTATCTACAGAAGTCTGAGGCAAATCCCAGATACTGGATCACGCGCGAGGAGTACCAAGAGACTGGTGCTAGACACCCCGGCAAGATTGAACAAAGTTTTAGATAGATGGGAAGAGGAAGACTTGATTTGACAGGCGCCGTCCAGAGATTGATTCCCACGAAGTTAGCTTGAGCCGAAGGAGTTCCGCCGAAGAAAAGGCACTTCAAGCATGCAGCACTGGCGATCGATTCTGAAGTCTTGAGCCTTGACATGCGAAGATGCATTCTTTAAGCTGCATGGTTCTTATTGCTTTATCTCAAACCCAGTGGCTGCGGGCCCTCCCTCCTTACGCTCGGGGGCGAGGGCGGTGAGGGGGACCCTGAGCTGTTGAGCTGGCGGAGTTTGAGGACTGCAGGGATTTCCTACGTCCGCAGCAGAAGCCTTGATATTCAGGGTGGTTGTGGCTTTCACAAGGTCTACTTCTGTGAGCTGCCCTGCAAGGAGACGGGAACTGCAAGCGGCCATGACAGCGGCAGTTGCAGAATCATCAGCCCGGATCCATGATGACCATGGGAACTTCCTGACGGTAGAGAGAATGCTTATGCAAGGCTGTTAGGCTGCCACACAAAGGTGCCTGCAGTGGAGCTGTCATATTTCTGGATGATGATATTACAAGGCATACTGTAGCTGTGTGAGGTGTGACGACACATGCATTACCTTCCCTGAATTTCAAGAACATGTGGGTTGTAGAAGCCACGGTGGGCCTTCTGAGCGAGACGTGCGCAATGATTATTCTAGGGGCTGGGCACGGAGTGGGGCAAAGTGGGACGGAGTGGGACCGGGCATACAAAGTACTCTACTCTACTACTCTACCACTATCAGAATCTAGCCTATTAGCAGAATCCATCCCTAACAAGCACATTGCATTGAAATCCCACCCCGGCAACCCCCCACAGTCGAGGCGAGAGGGGGCGGGTTGCCTCGAGGCCTTGTTAGCAGAATCTACAGGAAAACAAAGCCAAGAGGGCCTGGAAATGGAATATGGTGGGACGGAGTGGGACCGGGTGGGGCGGAGGGGTTGGGCATGCATTGGGGTCCAATTAAAGTCGTCTACTCTATTCTACAATAGTAGAAAAGGCCAAGGGGGCGCGGAAATGGAATATGGCGGGACGGAGTGGGACCGGGTGGGGCTGCGGAGAGGTTGACTCTACTGTACTTTGTTCTACTATAGTACCAGAAGCGCCAAGGGCGCGCGGAATGGAATATCGTGGGACGGAGTGGGGCTGGGTAGGGCTGCGGAGGGGTTGCGCAGTCGTTGAGGTCCAATTAAATTACTCTACTCTATTCTACTACTAGTACCAGAAGAGCCAAGGGCCGCGGAATGGAATATCCTGGGACGGAGTGGGGCTGGGTAGGGCTGAGGAGGGGTTGGGCAGTCCTTGGGGTTCAATTAAATTACTTTACCAGAAGAGCTAAGGGCGCGCGGAATGGAATATCGTGGGACGGAGTGGGGCTGGGCAGGGCTGAGGAGGGGTTGGGCAGTCCTTGGGGTTTAATTAAATTACTCTACTCTATTCTATTACTTGTACCAGAAGAGCTAAGGGCGCGCGGAATGGAATATCGTGGGACGGAGTGGGGCTGGGTAGGGCTCAGGAGGGGTTGGGCAATGCTGTGGGTCCAATTAAATTACTTTACTCTATTCTACTACTAGTACCAGAAGAGCCAAGGGCGTGCGGAATGGAATATCGTGGGACGGAGCGGGGCTTGGTGGGCTGAGGAGGGGTTGGGCAGTCCTTGGCGTCCAATTAAATTACTCTACTCTATATTCTACTACTACGACTCGAGTAATGACGTTTTTAGAGGGTCGTGATATGACGTTTCTAGAGGGTCGTGACATGGTGCGTGAGGTACTTTGTGTGGCTTGCCATGAAATGCCATTGCAGCAAATGCTGAATCGCCGTGAAGTCCGTACTCTAGACTCAACTCAGTCAGGTGGTTTCCCTAGCGCCCACTTGCACTCACCGAATTGCACCATGGACGGTAACAGCTGGTGCAAGATGTCTCTTGAGGAGATACGCTTGGCCAAGCGCTGGTACCACGATGATATGGCATAAAGCCCTCGGAGATTGCTGACAGACTGGGGCGTAGCAAGTCCGCGCTGACGCGGCTTCTGGTCAAGCAAGTGCCGAGGAAGAAGCGAGGCCGAGCGCTGCTTCTGTCCAAAGCTCAGGTAGACTACCTCCAAAAGCAGAGCATGACATGTGCGTCCAAGCCAATGCGGAACACCGCGTGACGGTCGACATACTCCGCAAGACTACCAAGGTGAAGGCTAGCTGCCGTGTCATGTTGGAGGCGTTGCATGCCCGCGGGGTCTACTTCCGGAAGCTGCGAGAGAAGCCCGTGCTGACTGAGACGGGCGTGAAAGAACGTTTAGCTTTCGCTAAGCGGTACAGAGCCAAGTCCGCACGGTGGTGGAACCAGCAAGTGCACGCCTTCCTTGATGGCAAGTTCTTCAAGACGTACCTGCATGCAGCAGCGCGCACCCAAGCTGCACAGCACCGCACCTTCGGTGCCTTCTGTGCTCCAGGGCAGGGCCTGAGTGGAGGCTACGTGAAGCCCAAGAAAGGCGTGCCGTCCTACACTGGGTCGAAGAGCTCTCTCATCATGGGAGCCGTGGGGCAGGGAAGGTACTGCTCTGGCATGCTGTCCCATCCGGGCGCTGGTCCGGCCAGGCTGCAGCCGACATGTATGAGGGTGGCTTGAAGCCTGCGCTGGAGAAGGCATGGCCTCGCAAGCGAGCCCATGTGGTGCTGGAGGACAACGACCCCACAGGCTTCCAATCCAGCAAGGGCAAAGCCGCCAAGACAGCAGTCGCCATCACGACCTTGAGCATTCCCAAGCGGAGCCCTGGTTTGAACCCCATGGACTACTCCGTATGGAGTGAAATCAACCCGCGCCTGAGGAAGCAAGAGAGGAAGTTTCCACGCAACAAGCGGGAAATCCGCGGAGAGTACCTGTCCCGCCTGCGCCGCACGGCCCAGAACTTGCCTAGCAGCTTCATCAAGAAAGCTGTGGGCGACATGAGCCGGCGGTGCCAGCTCTTGCTGGCTGCCAAGGGCCGCTACTTCCAGGAGGGTCGATCGTAAGAAATCGGGCTCGACATGAAAAGCTTTCTGCCTCCGCTCACAAATGTGACAGGAACCTGAGACCATGCCTCCCTGAGGGAAGCAAGCCTCCCTGCAGCCATCAGAGGACGTGGCCCTAACCTTCTGCAGTCGCCAGAGGAAATGTGCTGAGAGCTACAGCTTCCGTGCAGTTTGGCTTGTTCAGCGCGTGCTTCTATTGAGAATGTAAGTGCTCCACAAGTCACCAGTGTCTCCTTGCCGGCAAAAAATGAACACAGCGTCCAGGCAGAGCGTCTATGCCGGCAGGTAGCAGCGTCCATGCCGCTGTCGGCGACGAGTCAAAGCCTTTGTTAATGGAGCCACGCAGCCTTGACTGTGCATTTTGCGCAGCAGCCAGGTCATTCTAAAATCGCAAGATGTGGAGCCACGGATACGCCCATTCCACAACTTTCCTGGTAGGAATTTGCAGTTAACGTTCAGTTAACGTTCCAGTTAAGGTTGCGAAAATGCTGGCAGGGGCAGCATTTTGGAGTTTTCAAGCATAAACAGCAAGAAATACATGTATGTCTTGCTTTCTATGCTTGAAAACTCCAAAAGGTTGCCCCTGCCAGCATTTTCGCAACGTTAACTGGAACGTTAATTGTAACGGTAACTCTGACTTGTATGCAACGTTGGGTGAACGTTAGCTGTGACTTCTGTAGGGCATCCAGGAGCAAGCTGAGCTGGTGCAGTGCACGTCGACTGCCACTTCCGGTGCTTCCCAGGACCAAGCTGGACCTGACGGCAGCCTTCCCTGGCCATGACCATGGCAACTTGCGCCCTGAACGAGCCTGGCCAGCGCCTCCGAAGCAAGCGTTGGCTGGGTTTCGACTTGGTGGGGGCAGAGCCAGAGTGGCATAAGAAAGTGTGCTTGGCGCCCGTGGAGGAGCAAACTCCAACCTGCCGCCGCCCTCTTTCCTAGCTGAGGAGCTGGTAGAGCGTGAGCGGGACCGGGTGGGGTTGACGAGGGGTTGAGCATGCATTAGGGTCCTCTACTCTATTCTACTACTACTCGGCCAAGGGGGCGCAGAAATGGAACATGGCGGGACGGAGTGCAACCGGGTGGGGCTGCGGCGGGGTTGGGCATGCATTGGGGTCCAAGTAATGTATTCTATTTTATTATATTACGACTAGACTCTACTACTCTACCACTACCAGAATCTATACAGCAAAAGAGGGCCGTAAATTAGCCCAAAAGGCTAACGGAACACGGAAATGGAGTAGGCCAAAAGCTTGTTTTGGCTGTCCTTTAATGCGGCTCCAATACCTCTGTGTAGAGATTAGTTAAATTACTACTAGTACCAGAAGAGCCAAGGGCGCGCGGAATGGAATATCGCGGGACGGAGTGGGGCTGGGTGGGGCTGAGGAGGGGTTGGGCAGTCCTTGGGGTCCAACTCAATTACTCTGCTGTATTCTACTACTAGTACCAGAAGAGCCAAGGGCACGCGGAATGGAATATCGTGGGACGGAGTGGGGCTTGGTAGGGCTGAGGAGGGGTTGCGCAGTCGTTGGGTCCAATTAAATCCGCCGAGGCCACAGGCCCAGGCGTCTTGGGGGTTAGCTCAGGTACCCTCCACCTAATCCTCCTCCCTGTTTGGGGACACCCGTTTTTTGCGTTCGTTTGCCACCCCCTTGCCCGGCTTCCCTTCATTTTACCTGATTTGTTGGCCTCCCCCCCCCCTCCCAGGCCTCCCCTCCTCCCCCCTCCTCCCTCCCCCCTTCCTCCCCCCTCCCCCCTCCCCCTGTGCCGATACACCCCCAAGGGATACTCCTTGTGAGGAGGTGTATGACCAGTTTATTCCCTAAGGATCAAAGGGCAGCGCCCTGCACACGGACAGTAGTTGTTTTGTCTTGCTACGCAAGGAGAGCTTGTCTTGTCTCAATATGGTAAAACCACTGTGAGCCAATGGGCAGCGGAATGTATATGTATGAGCATGCAGCCATTGCTGTAGGTACCTGTTAGAGCTACCCCTTTAGAGGTTTATGGTTTCAAACAGACACTAATTTTCTTTTACCGAAAGCATGGCC